ACAGGAAGTATGATGTCTCTTTTAATAAAACAATAAACAATAAATGTGTACCGTATTCTTCTTCGTGGAAAAATAAGATATCCCCTGAATATAAGACCTAGCGCATCTTTGGGAACAAAAAGTAATATAAGACACTATCTTATTTTCAGGGAAATGGTAGTTCAAGGACTGTTTGTTGGCCTTTAGAAATGTTTTCTGGTTGAGTTTGAGGGGAAGCCAAGGTCTGGCCCCAAACTCCATTTTTGGTATTCCCTGTGGACTTTGTTGCTCTGTTCTCCTTGTGCTTCTGTTTCACATCCTTAGTGTTTTTCCTCGGTGTGCTGGGATCAGATAAGGCACAATTCCCACACTGTCTCCGGTGTTGTCCCCTGTAGACCTATGGGTCAGTGAGGGAAGTCGTCTCTCATAGTGGGGCCGGCCATATGGTCTTCTCTGTGGATTGGCTGCTCTGAGTGGGAATATTGTTGTCAAGGCTTGGTGCATTAGGATGTGCTCCACTCTCTCTTCCTCCCTCTCCATTTGCTCCCGTGTGCTCTGATCAGACATGTCCCTCTCCCTGAGCTGCAGCTTCAGTGCTGTCCTCTGAAATAAATTCTTCTGTGGGGAGGGGCAGGTGTCCACCTAGTTGGGATTGGGGCCGACCCATCGCAAAATATTTTAAAAATAAGACCCCCCCACCTCTTGCCTCCTTATTTTACCATGAAGATTTCTTTTTCTTGAATGCTGCAATCTCAGTTATAGCTGGGTAATGGTTATCACCATAGGCTTCTTAGTGCCACTGCCTTCATTTATCCAGGGTGAGATGGGCTCACGCAGAATAAAAATCAGTCTCAGAAGACATGCTTGACAATAGTTGATTATGTTGGGGAGGTAAGTCTTCCTTTCTATCATCTTATTTTTATCAATGAACTAATATAGTCAGCAAGGTATTTAGACAAATGAATTGTGTGTGGTTTAATAGTTGAGGGTGGCCAGTTAATTCAGCTACTTCCCACACCATCAGTCCACAAACAGCTGATTAATTTCCTCCAAAAAGTATTTGAGCAGAATTAATTTACTGAGAAATAACTTGATTTTTCTTTCTTTCTTTTATTGTTTTATTGGTACAGAATTCTCATAGGATACAATTCAATAGTTCAATCATATCAAGAAGAGTTGTACAATTATTACCACAACCAATTTTAGAACATTTTCCTCTTTTTAGTACTCATTGTATTAGTACTCATTTTCTCCCAACTTCCCCTGCATACTTCTAGGCAAACATTAATCCAGTTACTATCTCTATAGATTTAACTATCCTGGATTTTGTAAACAGAAAAAAATATATAACAAAATGAAACCAAAAAAGCAACAGAAACTAGCAAAGTAAAACAGAAAACCCTCAATCAAAACAAAAACATTAGATAGTAGAACTTTAAAAGAGGTCAAAAGGGAGATCAAATGATAAGGTATTACATTTTAACCTAACCACATGTGCTATAATCCACTTTTAACTGGATATTTTCATCCCTTCATAAGTCATAAGATGCAGTAAGATGTGTTTGCAAAAGATAGTCACTGGGAGGCAGGAGACACAGTTTCCTAGTCCTACGCAGATTTATATAGTAAATATTTGAAGGACCAACTCAATTTATGTTAATTCCCTGCCCACTGCCCCACCCCCCAGCCACAGCATCTATAAAACATATCTCTTGGCTCCTATCTAAATATAATAAGACTCTAATTCGGTGAGAATACCATTCTTCTACTTATTAATTTAATTATGGATACATTGGACCATCACTTTCTTCTAGTCACATATGAATACAACTTGGGTATAGTACCAAACAGCCTGTTAAAGACAGGGTCTACCTTGAAGGAAAACCTGATGATTATGACTTACATTTGGAACCCACTACTCCCCCCATTCCAAACTGGAAGCCAGGCTCTGTGATGTCCTACCACCCTGCTCCAAGACTTATTCTAATGATTCTGGTTACAGAGTCCTTTAAGTTTTAGTTAGGAATAGCATGCGGAATTGAGGTGGCAATTTATAAACCCTTTTTCTAGTGGTGGCAGTTGTGTTATTGTAGAAACCTTTTTATTTTCAAGAAATTTACTTAACATGAATTTTAAGAGTGTTTTGAAGTCATGCCCTGGTAACCTAGAAGCAATCTGACTAAGAGTTTTCATGATTCTTACCCAATGCCACCTCTCTTCCTATTTAAATTAGCATACCCTTTTGCTCTGGTTGTTTCATTTACTTAAACTCTTATCCCAGTAGCTCATAAATGCTATATATAGGACAAATGAATAAAACATTTTGAATGCAACGTTGACTTCAGAAAGGTGAGTGTTGGTTAGCATGGAGAAAGGTGGAGGAAGAAGCATTCCAGGTCAGGAAGCATCTTTATCAAAAGTTCAAGAGGAGAAATCACCTTATATCCTGTGGGAAAATGGAAAAGAATGCTTGATCCTTTGGATCGTTAACAGTTAGAAAGAAATGAGGGGATTATCTTGGGCACTGGGGACAGGTTGCCAAGGACACATTGCCAAGATAGTGAATGACAGGATGAGAATTGAAATATGGGATGAAAAACTTAATGTGAGAGTGGGACTAGTTAGATTTTGGAAAAGAGATTTTAAGTTATTCTTACTTTCTGGCAAGTAAAGGAAGGCAGGCCTTGCCAATGACATAGTGCATTTGTAGAATTGGACTAATCCCAGTGGCCATTGTATAAAACCAGTGAGAAAGCAGACTCTTGATAAAATGGATTCACACAGAGGTTACAACAATGGGTTCAAACACAACAGTTGTGAGGATAGTGCAGGACTGGGCAGTGTGTCCTTCTGTTGTACACGAGGTTGCTAATGAGTCAGAACCAACTTGATGGCACCCATCAGCACCATTTCTAGTTCCCATCATCGTTATTCAAACCTCTGTTACTCATTGGCCCCAAATTACCCAGCCCGCTGTCTCGGAACCAAGGCGATGAAATGGTATTATGGTGCTTCTTATAAAAATAACCACCTCTTAAAATCTGTAAGAGAAAGCATCTTCCAGATCCAGTCCATGGCTTGTACAGAGAGACTCTCAGGGAAAGTTTGGAGCTGATGATGAGCCCAATGTGCAGGAGTTCTACATTAAGTCATAATTGGCTTTGTGTTTGGGTGGATATGTCAGTTGGTGAAACTAGGCACAGGGAGAATAAGAGTTTCCAGTAATAACATCGTAGAAACTTATCATCTACTTGTTACTCAAAACAATAGGTGCATAGGAGGCTTCATCAATCCCACATCAGAGGGGTGACCATGCCCTGATGTCCCTCCTTAACAAAATGTCTACAGCAGATTTGATGGAAAATCTCAGAGAGGAACTGACCTGTTTCATCTGCTTGGATTATTTCACCAGCCCAGTGACCACTGAGTGTGGGCATAGCTTCTGTCTGGTGTGTCTTCTCAGGAGCTGGGAGGAACACAACACCCCCTTATCGTGTCCTGAGTGCTGGAGGACCTTGGAAATCCCTCATTTCCAGCCCAATGAGCGTTTGGGGAGGCTGGCTGGCATCGGCAAGCAACTCAGGTCTCAGGTGATGCAGAATGAGGATGAGCAAGGCAGCTATGGGAGAATGCTGGCAGCCACTAAGGTGTTCTCTGAGGATGGGCAGAGTGTGGATTCTTCCTCAACCCAAAGTCATGGAATTAGCAGAGGGCATCTCTCAAGCGAGGCTGAAGAGTACCACAGAGTAAGACTGGCTGCTCACTATACAACTTACCATAGAAGTCAGATGCCCTCACTTCTCAGAATTGTCTCTGACAACCGCTATTAGTCTACTGGTGGCAGGCATGGGTGCCGATCACAAACGTGCCTAGTTATTGTCATCTTGTTATTACTGATTGTTAAGACTTTTCTTCACCTGGTGCTCGGCCCGCGTGCCACAAAGAATTTATTTTTATTGCAGGAAAAACTCCAGGAGATCCTAAATATGTTGTGGAAAAGGAAAAAGGAAGCTCAGGCTATTTTAACACACGAGAAGGAGAGAGTGGTGCTGTGTAAGGTCAGTATATGTTTGTTTGGCTCTGTGAGGGGCACTAAAGACACCATAATATATATTTTCCCCTTTATTTCTCCCAATATCAGCCATACATTACTGCAGTATCCTTCCCTTGTTCATTTGGAAATTAAAAAACTCACGTCAAACTTACATTAGGGAGATTTCCCCCCAACTTTCTCTCTGGACCCCTACAACTCTTTGCTATGCATATGATGATTCTCATTATAATTACTTAAAAATATAAGTTATGAACATATAGGATGAAAATCAATTAAAAAAGGAATACTTCAAATGCTTTGGGGGGCAGGGGAAGCAAAAGCAACAAAACAAAAGTAAATCGAAGATAACTGAAGACCAGGACAAAATAGAGTTAATGCACATGAAAAAATGATAGCACCTGGTCCATTTCAAATTTGAATCGCCTAGCTGCTAGAATGTTACATCGTATCTGTTCTGTTCGTGTGTGTACTTAGGTGGATCTGATTCTCCCAGTAGACTTCTAACTCTTAAGTGAGAGTATTTGTGTTGTACATTTCTATTGATAGTATACACTCTAGTGCTATTTTATGTTTTGAAATATTGAACAAATCAATACTGGCATATTCTTTATCTTTTCCCTGTTTTATTTTTATCATAGCATTATCATATCATAGTCTCTCTCACAAGAATAACAGCCTTGTGAGAGTAGCAAAGTTTGTTTAACTACTATAAAAACACTTTCTAAAATATCAACACATCAATTCACATGATCAATTGAATGTGTGCATCACATTTACAAGTGTCTCTGTTGTACTCTAGGGGTTTAAAGGGAATAAACATGTACAGATGTGGGTGTTTCTGTTACTAACGTATTAAATTCTGTATATGCATGTGCACGTACGTGCGTATGTGATAACAGGAAGAGACAAAGAATTGTAAACAAGTTGTTGTGTCCGAATACATGAAAATGCATCAGTTTCTCAAAGAGGAGGAGCAGCTTCAACTGCAGCTCTTAGACACGGAGGAAAGAGGGAACTTGAAGAAGCTGAGGAACAATGAGATCCACCTGACCCAGCAGATCAGGAGCTTAAGCAAAATGATTGGCCAGCTCGAGTCCAAGTATCAGAATTCAAATATGGAATCATTTGAGGTGAGAGGGAAATTCATGAGTGTTGAGAAAAAAAGGTAAAATGCATAGTTTTGGAGGTGCCATCAGCTATAAGGGTTTTCAGTCGCCAACTGAAAAGTAAAGTCGTTCTCTCTCAAATATAATTTTCCTAAAGAACTGATATTCTAAAAAGCTTTGAGGAGAGAGTATAAAACAACATCGACGTTGATGTCCGAATTTCTTTGTGCCAGTCTTCCTGTAAACATAGCTCTGTCAAATATTTTACTAAATGTATTAATGAGTATTTACTGTTCCTAGGCACCTTATATTTAATTTTCACAAAGACCTGACATTCATCTCTAAAATAACACAAACATCTTTGGCAAGAGTTTCTGCATGCATAGCTTTGCTGGTTACAATAGAAGCGACTTACTCTTAAGTCCTGCCAGATAGTTAACAATTGAGGCCTGTGGCAGTTATGCACTAGTCACATAACTCACAAGTAGTAAATGTAGGCAGTTTGTGTAGCCAGTCCATATCTCTTTCTCCTTTTAAATGAATATTTTATTGTGAACGAGGTGGAGGGCTTACATTTCAGACCACCAGCTGTGCATTGAGTCCATATATATTTTTTCTGAGTCCATATTTTTTTAGCATCTGTCCCATACTGCCTGCCGAGGCTACTGTTTTTCAGGACCACCTCACCCTTAAGCCATTGGAGTCCATGTCCGCCGCAGGTCCGTTTCTTAGAGGGTTCCGAAGCTTGCTACTATTTAAGTACATTTGAACCGACTCCTCCAGCCTTATCCAGGGTTGCCTTCAGCCCTCCGTGGGCCACTTTTCCTTTGCTTTCTCTGATGAAGAGCTCTGGTGAAATAGTGGGTTACGCTTTAACCGCAGGGTCAGTGGTTTAAACCCACCGTCTGTAAAGAGTGAGTCTTGGACTCCCGCAGAAGCAGTTCTCCCCCATCCTGTAAGGTCCCAAGGAGGAGTCCGAATTGACTCAGTGGCAGTGAGTTCTGTTTTGTTCCTCTTGGGGCCACTGGTCACATTGGATAACGAGACGGATAATTTGGCTCCTTTTCAACAATAAGATTCTCTGATGCCATGAAAAAGAAAAGGACACGACAGTCTCTAGTCATTAGGAAAAAGATCGTATGTTTACCAGGAACCATCCCTACAAGACCCGCGGGGTTTGTCTCTTGATTTTGTTCCCTCTCCCCACAGGCGTTCTAAAATCATGAGAGCGAATTCTATGAATTTTGTTATGAAGGGCTGTCCTCAAAAATGGATTCAGTCTTCGCTTAGTGATCAAAGCAACACATGCTAATTATTTTCCTTATTTTATTTCCTCAGGAAGTGAAAGACGCTCTGGAAAGGTAAGTTTCCATCTTCTGTTGTACATGTGAGACATAAGGATCTGGTCCTGATGGCATCGGTTAGTAGAATGGAGGTAGGAATATCTATGATATTGGGGCAGAAGGAAATTGATGTTCAAATTGGAGCAGGTCGTGTGGTAAGTGCCAGAGAAAAAGAGAAGAACGTTCTCTCCCCTCTTGTAGGAGTGAGTCACTCTTGCTTCAGTGCCCAGAGGCGACCACCACGGAACTGAGTCTGTGCCGCATCACCGGAATGAGGGAGATGCTAAGGAAATTCAGCAGTAAGTCAGCCTGATTAGCCAAACCTCTCGAGAGCTTCAGAGTTAACTTCAGTTTAACGTCAAAGGATGCAACATGAGCCTTCAGGCAACTTCTTTGAGCATCAGATATTGGCCATCTGATTGAGAGGCTCTCACGTAAGATGCCCTGAGCCAGCATGAAACACTGGCAGCCTGTGGTCACAGACCATCTCTGTGCTTGGGAAAAGGGAAGCAGAGAGACTTGACTGATGTTTTGATGTGGCTTTGCTTTGCTGAGCATGGAGTTCTGATCCTTCCTCACTATAGATGTTCTATTTTGTCTTCATCCCTGCCACCCCCACTCCCCCACATATCTTTCTTGTTAGGATGAAAGCTCACCTGAACTTTTAAATCGCAGAGAAAGAAATTCCAAAGAATGGCCCTTTAGAATATGAAGGTCGAGAGAGATCAGCAATGATTCTCAACTTTTATCGACAACCTGATCTTCAGAAAAAGACTTAATGGGCTTTGGATTCAACAGATATTACACAAGTGCCTACCATGTGCCTGGCATTTTGCTACAAGGCTCTGGGCTTGCTTATAGTGATGAATATCATAAGTACTGCCTTTGCTTTTGTGGAAGTTTTAGTGAAACTGAAAAGAAAGGCATTAGTGGTTATGAGTTGGGCTGCTAACCGTGAGGTCAGCAGTTTGAAGCCACCATTCCCTCCTTGGAAAGAAAGACGGGGCTTTCTACTCCTGTGAGGAATTAGTCTTGGAAATTCATAGACGCAGTGCTAACACGACCTATAGGCTCTCTGTGAGGCAGAACAAACTTCATGGCACAGAATTTGGTTTGGTTGGGAAAGATAGTTATTGATCATTTTGATTTGGCCTATAAATAAAAGTGTGACATTTTATTTTTGAGACTTCTTAGCATTTTGAGACATCATATTTTTGAGAATTGACTTTAAATTGCACATATACATATTTCCCCCCCTCTCTGAACATGCCCAAAGAGAATTCATTCTTTTCTTCTCTTGTAGCGGATATCACTCTGGATCCCGACACGGCCAATGCCTATCTTGTCCTGTCTGATGATCTGAAGAGTGTGAGACACGGAGGATTCAGACAGCAGTTACCTGACAACCCAGAAAGATTTGACCAATCTGCAACTGTTTTGGGTGCTCAGATGTTCATCTGTGGGAGACACTATTGGGAGGTGGAAGTAGGAAACAAGACAGAGTGGGAAGTGGGCATCTGCAAGGACTCAGTGAGCAGAAAGGGGAACCTCCCAAAGCCCCCTGGTGACCTCTTCTCACTTATCGGTTTAAAGATTGGAGATGATTATAGTCTTTGGGTCTCGTCACCTTTAAAAGGTCAACATGTCAGGGAGCCTGTGCTTAAGGTTGGTGTTTTCTTAGACTATGAATCTGGACATATAGCTTTCTACAATGTGACAGACGAGTCCCTCATCTACAGCTTCCCGCCAGCCTCTTTCCAAGGAGCTCTCAGACCGATCTTTTCACCTTGCCTCCCAAATGAAGGGACCAACACAGGTCCTCTTACCATCTGTGCACTGGATAGCCATGCCTGAGGGAAATGTCCTGAGCCTGCTCGGAGGATGACGTCTAAGACCAATAGATGACTATTGATTAAAATGATTAATGTGTTGACAGTATTAACATCAGATGAGTCAACAGAACACACCCTGGATCCCCACCCAAAGAGTTTCCATTAACTCGAGCCCACAGCGAACTGTCAAATCCACACCAGCCGACACCAATGACGAGAAAGCTGGTCGTCTGTTGTGCCTTTAACTACATTCATTGTCTATACTGCCTCATACACGTGCTAGTCACTTAAAAGACAGAGATAGGACTATGGCCCCATTTGCCTGGATCCCACGGTCTTAGGCCAGTTTTATAAATACATGTCATTTTTTCAAGTGTATTTATTCATTCGATTCCATAATTGTGCCACAAGAATGAGTCTTTATTGCATGTGTAGAGTGCTGCAGGCTGGGCGATCCCGATCTCCATGGCTTCTCCTCTGAGGATGAACCTTGGCTAGTCTTCTCGGAAAAGTCACTTTCTCCTCATGTCGCGACACCTAGAGTCTTTTCCTAGGCACTGTGAGCTGAAGATTTTTAATTTGTGGAAGGTCAAAGGAAGCCTCGTTCCTAGCTCAGTATCTCAGAATTTGTGAGGAGCTGCTGCTGTCTGGACGGAGTTTCCTTTGGCCGATCTTAGATCAGGTGTCTGAGATTTACCCTCACGGCTCCCAATCTTAGTGATCTGGGACTACATTGTTTGGAGTTTCTTGTGTATAATTTTTCCTTTCCTAAAACCATTTTATTGGGAACTAATACAGATCTCTTATTGTTCTTCAGTTCAATCACACAAGCAGTATTGTAAAATTGCTACCACAATCAATTTCAATACGTTCTTTTCCTTCTTGAACTCCTTGACATCAGCTCCCTTTTAGTCCACCCTGATACCACTGTACCCCCAACCCTTATTCTACTTGCTGTCTCTGTAGGTTCATCAATCCTGGGTGTCATCTACTGAAAAACAAAAAACATATAGCAAAAATCAAGAAGGTCACCCCCGATGACAAAATACATTTGAGATAAACCCCAATATGAGCAAGCAAAAGCCAAAAATACAGACAATGTTGAAAATGAGGCGAGGCCCAGTGTACATCAGAGAAGGGATCAACTGACAAGGTTTCAACTGTTGAAGTCAGGTTCATCACTTCCATCTTCTACAGTCATCTCCCCATCACACTCTGGTAACCAGTTTTCTTCCCATTCTCCGTTTGTGGATAGAGGGGACTCACCAGAGGTTTATTTCCTATGTAGATCCTATAAATGTATCTTGGGATCTCACTGTCATCCATACTCTTCTGCAAACCAAATTCTCACACTTTAGGCTCTGGTGCTCTTCCCTCCTTCGACTGGATTATAAGATTTACAATCCTTTGGAGACCGATGTTGGTGTGCTTCTTCCCTGTGGACTTAGTTGTCATCTCACTTAGATGGCTGTTTGTTTAGAAACAAGCCTTTAAGACCTCAGATGCTAATTTATCTAGTAGCTGGGCACCATCTAGTTTCTTCACCACACTTTGCTATTGTACCCATATCTTCCATGTTCCCTTCCCGAGGGTATGTATTGAACAGGGCTATGATGTAAGAACTAATTGTTCTTAAATTGGAGCTAGGATTTAGTGTGAACCCCAAAGCCATGCTTTTTTTTTAAATCTATGTCTTTCTATCTGTGTTTGGCTCACTTTAGAGCAAAACTAACCTTCTTCTTAATTTGGTAAAGAGTCTTATGGATCATCTCCCTTTGGCATAAAGATCTCACATGAATATTGTCATTGATTACCCCCTGGTACTAATTTTTTAAAGTACATTGAGTGAGGGATATTGGGCCAATGTAGCTTAACTCTATATATTCCAATACCCGAATTGAATCAGTCCTTTCCTGGCTGGACACTCTTTACACAAACAATGGGGTTGGTTATCAGGGAAAAATTTACAATAATAATCACTGAAAATATTAGTCACTGGTTTGTCAATATTTCAATACAGCATACAGGGCATTGATATAGTAAGTCAATGATTATCTGCCTACCAACAGTTCAGTAATCTTGGTACAGTTATCTTCTGCTTCAAACAGCATGCATTTTCAATCTTAAGTCCTCAGGTTACAAGTATGTTTGAGGTAGAGTCCAGTTACTCTAGTGGAGTTTCTGCTTTGGATCTCAGTGGTGCAGCCTGTGGAACATCGAAGATGCGCAGGTTGAAGATCCAGGATTTAGTGTTATGGCACTTGGCCCACATCTCCTGGATGTGCCCAGAAACTTGGGCCAATGTGGCTTATTCAGTGTATATAACCAGGGATACCTTCCCCCTTAAGATCCTTAAAAGTATTTTTTTTATTATACATTTTATTGGGGGGCCTCACAAATCTTATAACAATCCAGCATTCAATTGTATTAAGCACACTTGTGCATATGTTAGCATTAACTTTTCCAAAACATTTTCTTTCTATTTGAGCCCTTGGTATCAGCTCTGCTTTCTTCCGCTCTCTCCCTTCCTCATGAAACCTTGATCAATTAAATATATAATTATATGATATTGTTGTTCTTTCATGTCTTATACTGTCAGTTGTCTCTCTTCACCCACATTTCTGTTATTCATCCCACCTTGCAATGGATTCCAATCTTGGATTCCAATTTATATATCCAACTTTGTGATGGGTTTCCCCTTTCTCCCCCTTCCCCCCAATATCACTGCTTCCACTACTGATCCTGAGGGTTTTATCTGTCCTGAATTCCAGGTGTCGAGAGCTATTATCTGTACCACTGTGTGTACTCTGGTTTTGCAGGACTTGTAAGGTAGAACTGGGTCATGGTAGTGGGGTGGAGGAAGCATTCAGGAACTAGAAGGATGATGTGTGTTTTGTCAGTGCTCTACGGCACCCTGGTTGAATCGTCCTTTCCTTGTCACCCTTCTGTGGGGGGATGTCCAACTGTCTACAGATGGGCTTTGGGTGTTCACTCCAACCCTCCTCATTCACATTGACAGAATTGTTTGTTTGGGATCTTTTGATACCTGATACCTGATCCCGTTGTCACCTCATGATCACACAGGCTGGTGTGCTTCTTCCATGTGGGCTTATTTGCTTCCCTTCTAGATGGCTGCTTGTTTAACTCCAAGCCTTTAAGACCCAAGAGGCAATATCTTTTGATAGCTGGGCAACATCTGCTTTCTTCACCACATTTGCTTATGCCCCCATTTTGACTTCAGTGATTGTGTCAGGAAGGTGAGTATCAAAGAGTGCCAAGTTATTAGAACAAAGTGTCTTTGTATTTAGGGAGGCCTTGAGTAGAGGTCCAAAGTCCATCTTCTGTCTTAATACTTAACATATAAATATATGTACATTGGCCTCTCTCCCTTTCATTATAAATCAATATATTTACATATATACATGCCTATAGCTATACTTCTATAAATAGCTTTTGCCTCCTACTTCTTTCCTCTATTTTCTTTAAAAGTATTTTGTCATACACCCATCCCCCCTCATTTGGAGGTTGGTTCTCCCACTTCTCCTACCCACAGTCCTGCACTGTGTTCCCTCTCCCGTCTCCTGGCTTGACTTTCCCATTAGTATTCCTCATCTCTCTCTCTGTTAGGGATGTCTACCTGTCCGGGGACCTTGTCATAACTTCACATGGCAGCCACTTAGTAGTGAACATCCCCTCCCTGACTGATGCCAATGAACCTTCACCATCCTCCCTAAGTCTGTATCTTGAAGGGCACTTTGGGGAAGGACTCCTCATGTCAGCTGGGATCGAACTGTTTAGAGTTTTTAATCAAAGAAAGCATTTCACTTTCTTGTGCCAGCCAGATAAATATGTGCCATCGGGCAAACAAGTAAACCAATAAGATGTGGTCGCCACAGTTTATCACCGATTTTGTCTATAAGGTGGAGAATATCAGAAACAGAGAAACTGGCAATCTACCCAGCTAATCAGCATGCAAGGTCAGAAGACTAGTTCGTTATACTGACCATTTGTGTTTTCACCTCAGCATCACATTCAATTAGAATCAGAAAATCGCCGACTAAAAGAAACAAAGTTCCTCTTTAGATGAATGTTTTGTTTCTCATTTATATCTTGTTAGATATACTTTATTTTCTTATTTCTCACCTCAAAAAGTTAAGCCACAACCAAATCATTAATATCAAACTCCATGTAAAATGTATTTCCTTCAATTATTAAAAAGAATTTCTTTTAGGTTTGGGGCAAATGGACATAAAAGAAGTACATTTTAATTTACTATTCATTGCATTTATTTATAGTGTAATTCAGATGCTAGCTCTCTTCTTTGTCCCAGGGGCATTGATGTGACCACGGAAACCAGCCCTGTTTCTTCCTCCCCTCTGGTGAAGTTCTCCTGAGTGGGATCTTCTGCTGTGTCCTTGTCCACCCTAAGCCTGCTACTGTCTGTGTGGGAGATTAAATCTTTATTACCTTTACTCTCCAGAGTGCCCATAAACAACCCTAAAAGAAGCTGCAGGAAAACCATCTTTTATTTATTAAAAAAAAAAAAGCGGAGCTGATACAAGGGCTCAATTAGAAAGCAAATGTTCTGAGAACGATGATGGCAACAAATGTGCTTGACACAATAGATGGATGTATGGATTGTGATAAGAGTTGTATAAGCCCCCAATAAAATGATTTTTAAAAATCCATTTTCAGGGTCTCCACTTGGATTAAGCCTCTGGTGAATCCCCTCTAACTATTGACCAGGGATGTGAATAGCCAATAGAGTGCATTTCAAAGTGGAGTAATGTAGATGTAGTTAGGTTAAAATGTAACACCTTATTATAGATTCTCCCTTTTGACTCATTTTAAATTTGTTCTTGTTTTATTATTTTTGCTTTCTTTTAAATTGAGGTTTTTATTTTGTTATTGTTGTTTGTGTTTCTTGCTTTTAAAAAAATATGAAATGCAGGATAGATAAATCTATTGAGACAGTAATTGGATTAATAGTTTCTTTGGATTATGGCCGTTTTTTGGGGGGGG